GAAGCCCAAAACTAAAAAGATTGTTCAGGTTGGATTACGGTTACTTTCAGGAGTTTTGTCGGTTTCTCACTCATGCATAAACATAGGCATGTCATGCCTAATTTGTGACCCTGGCTCTTCACATTCTTAGACTGCGTACATACTTTGCGTCAGCGTTTCGAGCTCACGGCAGCGTTTTGAGCGACTAGAAACGTACGCTCAAAACCCACTTTCGATGCCTGTGCCTTTCTAGTCTCTCAAAAGGCTACTGTGCGCTCAAAGCGCTGTGGAAGAAAATGAATGCAGGCTAATGGGAAGAAGGCATCTACTAAGTTTTATCCACTTTTACATCTCGTTTCATTTCTCTGTTTTTGAGCTTTGAAATGCAGTCACATATGATAGCATGTTTATTTTTTATAGGAATCGATAGATGATAACTTCGATCCACACGAGTACATGCGGTTTTGGAGTTCCTCTACTGCAATCTACACCAGAGCAGACCCTGAAGGCAGGACCGTCTTCCGAATCTGCAAAGTCAGAGCAAACTCCAAAGGAAGGATCGTCTCCCGATTCATCAAAGCAGCAACCGACCACAAAAGCAAGAGCGTCTTCCGAATCACAAAAACGAGGGCAGACTCCAAAAGCAGGATCTAAAAGCAAGAACAAAAAAGTGTTCCGTTAATATAGATTGTTAGAATAGTCTCAATAAATTCTTCTTCGAGTGTATTAGTATTTTGTTGAAGTGTTTCATCACATACGTTTACCTGAGTTGCACCAGCTTTTTTTCATCGGTGAAAACTTGTTTTTTTTTAGTTTTCTTTTTTAGCTTATATGGTTCCTGAATATACTGTTTTATTACCAACATACAATGAGAGAGAAAATCTGCCAATTTGCATCTGGTTACTGGAGAAATATTTGAAGGGAATCAGTTATGAGGTTCGTACACTCATTTTTCAGTCCTATTTTGTTTCACTCTTAGAAAAATTTAATTTCTTTTTTCGGGGCAGTTCGGCTTGGTGGGTTCGCCGAATGGTACTTGGTTAAGCTAGTACAGGGTTATTTTCTCATCGCATCTACTTGCCCAGTACTTGAAGGGAGAAGGTCAAGAAAGAGGGAACACAGAAGGAAGGAAGGAAAAGGAGATGTAGGAAGAAAAAAGGAATCCCTGTGACAAAATGGCTCATTTTGCAGCTTCAGAAGTTGGGTCCCGTAAACATGAGACCTGTAACTCAACCCGTACTAACAAAAGAACTACGGAAGCCTCTCTAACCAGCAGTATCGCCTTTTTTTCCTAAAGAAAAACTGATTTTCCTTTCTGTTTTATTTATGGGTTCACATTTGAACAGGTGATCGTGATTGACGATGCAAGTCCCGATGGCACACAAGAGGTAGCTGAACGAATACGTAAGGAGTATGGCAGTGAAAAGATCGTACTCAAGCCTAGAGAAGGCAAGCTTGGTCTGGGCACGGCATATATTCATGGCCTCAAATACGCTAGAGGAAAGTGAGTTAATTATCATCGCTGTGATACCTCTTAATACGAGCTACAAAACTACTTATCGTTGTTTGTATTATGTGTAAGGCGCCAGGTTTGCTTGTTTAGCAGTCTCCCTGCCTTGAAATTCGGTGTAACGTGAAAGCTACTTGGATAGGTCGTTTGGGTAAAGCATGGGCCGCGCGAGACATAGTACATAAAGTGTAGTTCGCTGCGGACGGTTGGGCGTGTCAGTGCGGCTGCGTTTGGCGCGGTGCCAAACTCGTTCTCCACCAGTTGTTGAAGCGGGCAAGTGACAATACTGTATCATATCCTTCGTATTACTCGTTTTCTACCACTTTTTGTCGCATGCGCGTTTCAACAAGAAGGCAGAGAACGGCTTTGACGGTGTGATACTCATACTGCCTGACACGCCCAACCATCCGCAGCGAACTAAAGTGTAGATGACGGTTATGCTTTTCGTCGGCATTTCAGTGTTTTGAGGGTTTTGGGTGTAGAAGAAAGTGGGAATATAGACCTACCGTTTTGAGTTTTCTTTAGCAGTAGGCCAGCATCCTGAGGGAAAAAGAAGGTGTAGTTATCGACCTAGGGTTTACGTTTCGAGCGCCCATCGATGCCTATACCTTCCATTTTGCCCAATAGGCCGACGAAAACCATGAGTGCAGCCTTATTTGCCCTCTGAAGGGGGTCGTTTTATTTTAAAATGAATGACATTTATCTCCAAAGGAATCATATATACGATATGTTTTTCTTCCATCAAACCGCCATTTTTCATTTGCTGC